TTGAAATTTAGGGGTTAGGGTTTGGGACAGCCACCCTCTGATAGAAAGGACCCTGTAAATGATGATTTTGTATGTACTTTTGTATGTAGCTTACTAATCATTTTGTACACATTTAGCTTATAACATGCTTTAGCTTATTAATGCCTTGGGTTTAAATAGATCATAACATAATCTTTGTAAATATTTAAGGTCTAATTATTTGTTGTTTGAACCTGCCTACATAAAATTGTATTTTTAATATTAAAATTATAATACGAAAATGTTATAAATCTATACTGAATCTGTGAATAAGAAAGCCCTCGTTTTTATATATATACAGGGGTATGGCTGTCAATGTTTACTTTGGGTGGCTTTGTTGTTGAAGCAAAAATTAAAACAAACTAGCTCTTATTTTGAGCCGCAGCCCCCCCCCAGCCCCCCGGTATTCCCATACTCTATATCTGTTTAAATATCAGCACAGTACATATATCAGCAGGAAATTAAGTGGAACTCAATAGCTGGAAGAGTAACAGCCATCCTAAAATTGCTTCTGTCCAAAGAAAGTATTGAAATCCACTACATCTCTATCCAGGATGCTATTTAAAAGGTGAACATCATCATAATAACATGTTGAGAGCGCAAAGCAGAGCAGAACTACAGTTTTCCAATTCAGCTGAGAAATGTATAGCTCCAATTAATCATTAATAAAAAAAACAGTTTAATATATAAAACAATTTTCAGGGCATTTGTCAAGAATACTACAAAGACCAAGTGCTAATCTTTTTTGAGGATAAATGATAATTAAAAGCTGGATGATGAATAGAGAATAATGCCCTGTAAGGCGATTTGTGGATACTGCTCCTATTCATTTGAGAAGCTGGCGCATTGACAAACATCCCCGAGGTTCAGCACTACTCAACACAAAGCTTTTGCATCCGGGAGCGAGGCGCGTCTATAACAGGCTGAACAGTTCTTAATAAAGCTAAATAACAGGGCTCTAATAAGAATTCAGTGCCAGCACTGAGCCCAGAGGACTCCGACTGCAGTCACTGCTAAACTTCTTCTTTCTTTTCAACATTTACCGTATATGACAGCTGAGAAAAGCACAAGCCTTATATCAGATGAAACCCAGCTTTAACCCTAGCTTTATCTAAATAAAATACGCAAGTGTAAAATTTTAACCCGTTTTTTTCTCCCTTTTTTTCTTATTTACCCCTGAAAAAGATGTATGAACCAGACTATGGCTCAAAAATCGAGGCCTGAACTGAACCATGGATTTAAAGAATTGTTACACCCCTACAACCTATAAGAGTACAATTTGGGTCTTTGTTTATTTATTCAATAGTTTTCTTTTTTTTCAAATATTTAAGGAGCATGAAGGAAAAACAATTCATAAAAATAAACTAATCAAATAAGACCATAATGGGCTGACATACAATTAGTTACTTCTTTGACTGATTGATTTTATTAGACCATATTTTTAAAACAAACAGCCTACCCACTTTGAAAGCAGATTATGCTATAATATAAAACAGAAATGGTTAGGGATACACACAAAGCCCTCAGATTTTTTCCATTGTGGTCTCTACTCTTCCTACTGTTACTATGCAGTTTATCCCATTACTATACTGCTTGTTGTTTGCAGGCTCTCTATAATTGGCCTTTATTCTAATTGCAATTGTTCAATGTTGCTGTACTGACAATCCTTGTTTCTACGCTCATTGTCCATTTTATCAGCTCCACTTACTGTACAGGTGCACTTTGTAGTTCTACAATTACAGACTGTAGTCCATCTGTTTCTCTGCATACTTTGTTAACCCCCTTTAACCCAGTTCTTCAGTGGTCAGGACCCCCATGGACCCTCACAGAGCAGGTACTATTTGGGTGGTGGATCATTCTCAGCACTGCAGTAACACTGATGTGGTGGTGGTGTGTTAGTGTGTTGCGCTGGTCTGAGTGGTCAGACACAGCAGTGCTGCTGGAGTTTTTAAACACCTGAGTGTTACTGCTGGACTGAGAATAGTCCACCAACCAAAAATGTCCAGCCAACAGTGTCCTGTGGGCAGCATCCTGTGACCACTGATGAAGGACTAGAGGATGACCAACACAAACTGTGCAGCAGCAGATGAGCTATCGTCTCTGACTTTACATCTACAAGGTGGACTGACAAAGTGGGAGTGTCTAATAGAGTGGACAGAGAGTGGACACAGTGTTTAAAAACTCCAGCAGCACTGCTGTGTCTGATCCACTCAGACCAGCACAACACACACTAACACACCACCACCACGTCAGTGTTACTGCAGTGCTGAGAATGATCCACCACCCAAATAGTACCTGTTCTGTGAGGGTCCATGGGGTTCCTGACCACTGAAGAACAGGGAAAGGAGGCTAACAAAGTATGCAGAGAAACAGATGGACTGCAGTCTGTAACTGTAGAACTACGAAGTCCACCTATATAGTAAGTGGAGCTGATAAAATGGACAATGAGCGTAGAAACAAGGAGGTGGTCATAATGTTATGCCTGATCTGTGTGTGTGTGTGTGTGTGTGTGTATATACACACACACATACTATAAGACTAATTATATATTGCCACTGTCTGAGCAAAACGTTATCTCCTTTTCTGACTTTTTGTCAGAAAATGTGAATATTTCATGATGAAAGGACCAACAGAAAGGGCCATAAATGCTTGAAAAAAAGTCTTGTTACATTAATTTACATTAAAACTTGAGAATGCTTTTTCCTTCTCCTGAAAAGTTACTATTTTAGAGACATGAGGCTTTGTTAAGTCAGCGACGATATGTAATTACGAGGCTGAGGAACTAAAGTGTGGGCTCACATACAGGCTCTTACAGTTTAAGGGGTTAATGAGCAAAAATGGTGTGTATTTGCACAAATACAGCAGTGTTGCTCACCCCTCTGGCTGAACTCAGTCAGGTGTGAAAACTCATTTTGTTCTTAATCCAGCAATCGAGGAAAATCAGTGGTCCAGTGATAACGCCTAGCCCTGCCTCTTGAGACTCAAGGGCAAATACCATTCAACAACGTTAGCTCTAAAGCCAAGCTCGCCAGCTCAATACAGCATCAGGAACTGCAGGGTATAACCAGAGCAAAAATCCAAAAGGCCATTATCCACAGGGATGCCAGGTTTAATAGCAAACAGCCCAGGCTGAATGTTTTCTGAACACTGAGCCAAATGTACTGATGTACTTCTAGTAGCCATCTTAAAACAAACCACTGCTATAATAGGGCTGCAAGATATGGACAAAATACCATATAGTAATTATATGGTGACATAATGTGACTGTGATATATTAAAAACACTTTGATGTAACATGGTTAAAGACAGGCTTGCATTACTTTGACCATAATTATTGACGTTTGCTGGGTTTCATAATTCATCAAAACAGAGTGAGAAACTCATCTGGAACATACGACATTGTTCAGGATGCTTACAGCACAACAATGATTTTTTTTTTGTGATTTATTAACAGGTTCATTTGCATATTAGCAACAGAAGTATGGCACAGTCATAATAATTAACAAACAATATATTGTGCAGCCCTAATACACTTTTAAAAATAAAGGTGCCAAAAAGGGTTCATATAAGCAAAGCCATAGGAGAACCACTTATGATTCCATAAAGAACCTTTCATTGACTGGTTCTTTACAGAACCATGTCTGTAAATGAGACGTGTGAGTGCGAAGAACATATTTAAAGTCCTCCACAAACATTCTATACCAATGAAACGTTTTCCCCATCACTGTACACTAACGTTCAAAAGTTTGGAATCACTGTTTTTAATAAGATAAAACAAGTTTGATTGTTAAAAGTGCAAAATATGTTAGTCCTGTGCAACAAAGGAGCATGTAAAAATATTGAGAGACATTAGATGCATCCAGTATGATGAACAGAGCTGTAGAAGACAGAGAAATCTGAAAAAAATTGAGAATAAAGTTGTCCACAATTCAGCAAATTTCAAAATGGAGATAGAATATCAAAGTGAATAGCTTGGCAAAAAAATGTAAATAGATCAATACTGTTTATTATTTATCATTTAATAACTTCTTGTTCACAGAGTTTTTTAAATATTTTGAATTTTAAAATATATGTAATATTTCAATCCAGTGTAAGTCCTTGTGGCGTATACAGTAACAAAAACTGTTAACATGACCACTGATTCCAAACTTTTCAGTGCTAGTAGGGATGCAACGAACTGGGAATTGCAATATCTGAAATATCTGAAATATTTTTGATGTACATATCTGCCAATACCAGTTCATAAGAATTTCTGAAATGTAGAAATTGATCAAACTGGATTAGCATTACAGAGAAATATAACATTTATTTCTGTAGGGTAACAAATGAGGTAAAATGAACAAAATGCAAACAGTGTAGCACAGTAGACCGGCATCACCTACACATTCTGCTTTTCCAGGGTACAGATAAAGAAATCAAATCAACAAATACAGTGGCAAATATAATATATACAGTGGCAAATATATATATATATAAAAGCAATTACCTGTTGATACCAATACGATTATAATATCATAGTGCATCCCTAAATGCTAGTGTATTTCCAAAGAACCGTTCAGGCACCTTTATTTCTAAGAGTGAAGTATGCTATACACATGGATACAGTGTAAAAACAGACATCAGATGCCATCTGAGTGTGTGCTCAGGACATTTAAACTGTCACTCAGCCTTCTTACTAACTTACATTACAGAGAGAGAAACGTCTGACCAACAGAACTGGCTGCACTGACTTTCTACTATTAAAATGCAGACAGTGGGTTTCAATTACTCTCTCCTTCAGCATCTCACAAACAATCAGTGTCTCAGAAGAATGTTATGCAGAGAGAATGATCTAGAAACACATCTACAGGTACTGTTATAGCCCATTTAGCCCAGAAACTGCACACAGTCTAGGTGCTGCCTTATATAAGTTAATGGGACATTGCTCCAGGTGCATTAACCACTAAGCTCGCTTATTCCTGGATTGAAGAAAAAGGAAGTACCTTTCTTGTGAGTACCATCCGATTTGGAGCCTTGTGGGTCTAATAAAAAAAAGATCAGGATTAAACACATAGTATTCTAACAGCAATAATGTTATTGTTGTTATTTCCTCTGAAGAAACAACAACAGAAAAAAAAAGAAAGAAAGAAAAATTAGAAGCATGGCTCAATCCTTCGATTAGTTTTACTTGCCAACACTTTGGGCTTTGAAGTGTATGGCAGGGAAAGACTGGGGCCAACATACTAAAGGCAAGAGCAGGTAGGAGGGATGCACTTATCTGTCCAGAAGGTCAGCGGGCAGGAGAGAAGGCGATGCATAGAAATGAAAGGAGGGGTGGGGGTGGGGGTGGGGGGTTGCAATGCAGATTTCATTATGGGAGGCAAAGGTGGGTTAGCAAAATGCACTAAGAGATGCAATACACTAGAGAGAAGGGAAAATGCAAAGACTACATGTCAAACTGGCTTCACTTAGCTTTTTTTCATTTTTCTCGGCTGGTAAATTGAAGAAAACCAATTTCCGTAATCCTTTCCTTAAGGCTCCTTTACTTTCCGTTGATTGTATCTACTCCCAACAGATTGCGGGACTGTGCCATACAAAAGGAATGGGAACTTACTCGGAGGTGGAGAGGGCATTCGAAGCGAATGCCTCGCACATACTGTAGCCCTACTATGCTTCATTAGAGTGTGCCATCTACAAATTGCGGCATTTTCCCTTATGTATTTTTAAGCAGACAGAAATACATGTTGCAGTGCACCATTTGGCTTTCGCCTTGAAAAAAATTCCTATACAAACTGGCCTGTTGCCAGCTTATGCTGAGGTTATTCTCATTATTACCACATACATATAGCAGCACCACGTAATAAGCGTATTTTATCCCCGGTTTGAGAAATCAGAAGCATTATTAATACGGCTAAAAAGAATAACAATGAATTTCTTGTTGAGAGTAAATGCCATTAAGCATGGTGGAATGGATAATACCACACACAAGTCTGAGAAACATCTTGGCTTCCCTGTTGAGTAAAAAGGATTATGCTGGATATTATAGGGGGATTTTCTATAGGCACATATTCACTTACATACACACACACATTGCTCTGTGCTCCAGAAAGTACTGTGCATCTGTAAGGCAAAATCATCATTATCTGCCTGGTGAGGAATGAGAATGTGCCCGGATGAAAGATTCTTGTTGACTGCAGTAATCCATCTGTGTTACTTGCAAAGGAACTCACTCGTAAAATGAAACGCAATTACTTGGCATAAACATGAACTGCTGGAGACAGGTGACTTAAGCTCTGTAATGCGAGGCATTTTTCCTTCTATCATTCGACATGACCCCCAATCCCCAGCGCTAGAGTAATCCCGCACATCCAAAGAAGCTTATCCTTTGTGAGGAGGATCTATATGAACTATTCAAGCCTCAACACCTCTGACCCGGCTTTGAGCGAGCTTTCTTAAAGCTTTGTATTAAATATTGGCCAATTACAAACATCTGTCCTAAACTTTCAGCTAAAGAGCTACATTTCTTTCTACAAAAAGTCAACCAGCAACAGTTCAAACAAAACTTCTATTTACATTAAAGCCCAAGGACACAATGTTTAAGGATGTGCTCGGGCTCTCGAGCGCTTGGTCGGCCGTTCAAGGTGGCGGTATTTGAATACTGAAATTACTCAGAAAGAAGGAGAAAATATACAGACCAACAATTCAGTCAAAGATTTTTTGTTTTAACAGAACTGAAAAATGTGAAAGTTTAGCTCATATTAGCGAGTAAGTATGTTATGTTATACTTTTAAAAGCATATGGATGTAACTCTGGATGTTTGTCACAAAAGGTACATAGCCCATTTTATTGAGGACCTCTACAGTCATATGCACAAGTTTGAACACCCTCAGGCCAATTACGTTTTGTTGATTTTCTATGTCAAAATAAGTTAATGCATTGTATGCAGAGAACTTAAATATGACATTTTTCAGTGTTTCAAATTTCAGTGTACAATTTCTATTTATTTTTGAATATATAGGAAAAAATAAAGCATAACATTTAAAATGTCTGTAATATAAATGCATGTGTATGTTTTCATTTTTTCCCCAGTATGTTAAATTTAGCAAATAAACAATAGTCGTGTATTAAAATGTACTGAAGTGTGTTCTCTTTAGAGGATGTGTTAACTTCTTTTGACTTAGAAAATCAAGAAAACATGTCTGGCGGCGTCCAAACATCTGCATACGATTTTTCCATTAAATGATTTTGCGTGCGCAGCATAGATATATGGCTTTAAATATTTTTTTGTAGCCAAATAATCAGGGAGTTCAATCAAAATGGATCATAATCAATATTAAACACATTAAAAATAAAGTAGCAGGCCAAAAAAGTCAGTCTAGAATATCACATTATATACATAATAAAGCTGACTGATTTTACTGTTGTATTATTTAGCAGAGCAAATTGTGTGGCTGTATTATCTATGAAAAGATCTAATTGATATCAGCCGATTCAATGTTAAGGTACTCAGATCAAATCAGGGAATAATAATAAAAAAAAAAACTGAATCAGGACGTCCAGGTATTTCCTTCTTCTATGAAGTCATTGTTTCAGAGATATGAGGTTGTTACAACAGCAGTGATATGAAACATACTAAACCCAGACCTGAAAATGAAAGAACGATGAATGGAGCTCATCTAGATACAACAGAATATTCTACATATCTATAAAACTAAAAGCAAATACAGAATCTACTCTAACACTTATCTACTCACATAAATTACAGTATATGTGTACACTGAGGGATTAAAGCTCAGACATACTCCACATACACGTTGGCATATTTCCATGCCCAGTTCTAATCTTGTGCCCTTGAGTAAACAGAACCAAATTGCAGTGGTGGCGCAACGCTGACTTCAAATTTAAACAGTTATAGAATAAATTTCCCACGCTCTACAGTTCCTCCAGTCCTGGGAGACTTGGAACAATCTGTATGAAAGGAGTTAAAATGTGTATAAAATGTTAAAATCGAATCTAACGTACTCTCCGTCTGTGCTGGATGACTGCTCTATCACTCTGTATATTCACTGGCCTGCAGCATCCTGCAGTACAGCTTTGCCTTTTCTCTTCCCGGGGGAAAACAACAATATTTCTGCTCCTACCTTGTGACAGTCAGTGTCACACTGGAAATACAGTTCAAACCTTCACCCAATACTTTGCAACATAAGATGGAAAGGTTGCAGTATTTGGTAGGAGAGAATCCATCACAGGCACACCTTTACATTTAGAAGTCTAGAGTTACTGCTGTTTGCTATACTGTTTGTAAGTAGTTACAAAATTAATAAAATACATTTACATTTAAGTTATATCCTGTACAGACAGGTCTGAGTCCATGCTTCTGAATTTTTCCAGTTATTTTAGTATCAAAAATAGCCAGAACACCAAAATAAGACTGTGTGCACAACAATAGCATTATCAAATTCAAAATCAGAATAAAATATCTCCTCTTTTGCTTGCAAACACAAATGTGGCATTGATTGGAAACTATGAATCAACTTATCTTTTTCAACATGTAACAAGCGAGTAATAATTAAGCCTTAGTCACATTTATTGCCAGCAATTACAAATGATGTAACTCACTGAGTGCTGTGAGTCATAATCACATTTGTGTATGTAAAAGAGGAGATATTTTATTATGATCTGATTGTGTGCAGTCTTGTTTTGGGGAAGTAAAAGCACTCTTTACATTTTTGCCATGTTTGTCATTGCTTGACATTGTAAAGAAAAAAATATTGAGAAGCTATTGATACAAAATATAAATAATATTATACTATTATTAAGTTATTAGGTTTGGATAGTATAGCAAAACAAAAGCAACATCTCTTGACTTCTTCCCGTTAATACATGAATTATATAATATACATGACCAAAAATGTATTAATTAGTTAATTAATTAATTTTAAAAACTGAGGGGGTACTTTGCATTTTGTTGCCATATGGTAACGGTGTGACAACAGAACTACAGTCTGCAATGCATACAATGGGAGTCAACCAGTGCACTGCCATATAGACACATTCATTATTCAGATATGATGAAACTCACCTGCATGACGGCCATAAATGTGTAAATGTGTTAAGAACACAGAAAAATGTGAATATTATACTGATTAAAACATCAACTTGTAAAAAGGATCTGAAAATGTGTCCAATGTGTCCAGTGGCAGTGTGTTCTTACTCCCATTCAATCCACTGCACACTGCAGTTCCATTATTGCGTGCTGTTGCCATATGGCAATAAATACATTTTTGTTTTATATAAAATCCATAACATCTAAATTATTTATTAAAAAGAAAAGTGTTTGTGTTTAAATTTGTTTTCTCAAAGTTGTTTTGTATAAATACTGAATTATACACACTTCAGGAGCCCAGCCTCATGTGATGTGTGTGAAAAAGAAGTACAGACTGCAACAGAAAGGCAAGTGATCAGAACTATATTATTTTACACATAAAGCCTTTAGGTTCCCAAAGGAAAAGGAGAAAAGCCTTTTATATTGTAGATAAGCAAAAAAAATGTTGCCATATGGCAACAACATGCAATAAAGAGCAAAGGGCTTGTATGAACTGCTACACGGTTTAATTATCTATAAGACCCTTTATTTTGCATTCTTACACATGACACATTAATCTTAACAATATCTGTAGATCTTCTAAACAAGCCAGAAAAACACTCAAGTAGGTTCACCATTACAGTTGTATGTGAATGCTACACTCCCACTCATTAGAGAATCCTCATCAATCCTATTAAAGTCCCATTAACAGGTGCAGATAGCACAAAAAATGAACTTCAAGCTCCACCAGCAATTCATTTATCTTCTCTTCAGGTTAAGATATGGATGGGGAGGAAATGCAGCAAGGTATCGTAGACATACAGAACATCCAAAAAAAGAAAAGCAGTCAGTAAATATACCGCAGCAGACTGTATATTTACGAAGGTACACCTGTCTAAAAGGACCCATTCAGAAGCAAAGTGACAGTCATTATAAAGCGTTACACTGATCATCACTGTAATGCATCGTGGTAGCTCATTTGAGAATCTGGAGGGGGTTGGTGGGGGACTGTTGGTGGGTGGTAGGACTGCGACAAGGCAAAAGCAACCCATGGTAGTGATATTTGGCGGGGATGCGCTGCACCTCATGGCTGTCGAGCCCGCTGCTCCTCACGGCGACTGATGAGGAGGGACAAGGTTAACGGGGAGAGCGGAGCCGCAGCTGCACTGCACAGCGTTCATCAGCGGAGGCTCGAGATTACAGCACAGCCCAGCTCCCTGCATGTGTGTGGAGGAGAGACCCACTCCCCTATCTTACTAGCACTGCCGCACACTCTCCCACTCCCCCATTCATTTTACACTACAGTACCTGCAGCTGTCAACAAGCACTGCGCGAGGAAAAAAATCTTACTCTGGCAAAATTTTAACCCCTAAAATTCGTATGTGGGCCCACACTTCAGCTCTGCACTCTTATGAATGCTAGAAGTGTAAAAAAGCATCAGTCTGAAGGTGAAGATTCAACTGCATCAATTTTGGAATACAGTATGAATTCATTTTTGGTCAACATGAAATTCTCAGGCTATTTTCAGTTGTAAGAATCCAATCATGCTTGGTGTACTGTTTTGATATTCCAATACTGTATTCACTAGGAATGTAACGATCCGGAATCTTTTTTGGCCAATTTTGAATATTTCTTTTACAGCCAAACTAGCCCTTTTTCAACCCGAAACATACACTGTGTGGGCTATATGAACATATAAAGCATGCTAGCATATTTCTAGTACTGTCTATCAGCCATAATTGCAACATAAATAACATTATTTGCTATTTAACAGGCCAAACCAGCATTCAAAAAACTTCATGAAACTTTTCTGAAAACACCAGAAAAATCTGTTAAAATAAAGTGCTTCAATGAAACTATGAGGCTATTTAGCGTAATCAGTCATGCATAATTTTTTTAGTTTAGGTGTAGCAGCAGTTCCACTGATGGCTGTATTGACAAAAGTAAAACTATAACTAAGTTATTCCCAGCTTCTACCATTAGCTAATTATATCAAGTCTGAAGATTATTTTGTCCACTCATATATATCCAGCAAAATGTATTGCTTTTTAAATGGAGAAATGTGACTAATCACAATTAACTACACAAAATGCAGCAATTAATCAGGATTTAATATTTTAATCGTTTCACAACCCTAATATGAATATAACAAAATAGTAAATTGACCGATTAGCATTCATATGATTGGAGCAAAAATCTCTCCATTCCAAATGTAGCCGACTGGCTGATTCTGATCCAGATTAATTCCGATCCTGGTGAATTCCAGTCGTGCATCCCTAGTATAATCAGTTCCTCCAGTCAAATTAGAGTATCCAAAGTGTTTTTAAATGTAATTCTGAATCACATTAAAACAATCATGTGAAACTAAATTATAGTAAAATTTGAGATTTCATAGAACATTGAATTATTTCCATAAAGGATCAAAATTAAATCAAATCATTATAAGATTTATAATTGTAATAATTACATCTTGCATATTAGTTTGTACTTATGTTATCACAACTGAATAATAAGCCGAGAGATCAGTAACAGTAACAGTACCAATGTAAATGCAGCAGTACTTGGTCATCACTATGTGGGCTGTCCCAAATATGCCAGGATAAGATTTTATTTCCATTTCAATTGTATTCCTGCAAAATGATTTGGATGGATTTCCCCACAGTGGGTCCCAGTCATGATCAGTGTAGTTTCTGCTCATGCTGGCACATTCGTAGCTTCAGGCAATTCTTATATATCCCCATTTCCCTCCCCCCACCCCTGCTTGCTATGGCACCAAATTAGCAGGAGAGGTGCCAATGTGCAGAGGTGTGCTCCTCCAGAGAGCTGGAAACAAATGTCTTCTCACGTTAGATGGTGTTTGTTTGGGAGTAACCTTCACTCAGGCTGAGTTGGGCTGAGGACACCCTCGCAGTTTCAGAGAGATACTGTGTCAGGCCCCTCGCCGCATGAATTTCATTACTGTGCTCTATGGCAGAGGAGCAAAAGGCAGGAGCTTCCGGCTCAATGTGCTCATACGCTGTTGACCTGACAGCCATGACGAACCATTGAATTTCATAATGTCGGGTCATGTGACTACGGGCTGCCTCCTGGCTCTCAGACAATGATGTTAATTCCTTTGTGTTAAGGTCACACTGGAAAGGCCAGGGCTTTTCTCAAATGATGACATCACATTACTTAATTCTGCTTTCCAACTGTTTGTAAATTTGAAATGAGAAATGATGACTTAATTATCATAATCGAAACAGGTACTGTTGAGGTTCAGCCCACAATGAATTTGATATATGTTGAATATCTTACAGTCAAAGGTCAGCTCAGGTGAGAAAACAATTATCCAACTTTGTAGAAAGACTTTGGTTACAATATTCAAGAGCGCAGCGTAGCACAGCTTAAAATGTCAGAATGCATTCACCAAACGCTAACAGCGCTATCTTTCAATGTAGCAGAACATTTCTGCATACAGCACAAAAAACGGCAACCTTTGCCATGAGCAAGGTTAAGATGCACGCCATCACAGAACCGGGGAAGGCTTTCTCTATCCGAGCATTCAGGCAGGTTTAACAGAAGTTTTTTTGGACAGAGTCACGACAAACATTCCTCTCGCGCTCACATCACTTTTACCTACCTCCACTGTCACAGGGAAAATCACACAAACAGCTGGGACTGTTTTTCTATGTAAGCATGTCATTCAGTCTATATTAGAACATTCACTATGGGTTGCAAGTTTGTTTTCATTTGATAAACGTGTGCCATTCAAGTTATACTCAAGTCCTTCTAGCACAAATATGCAAATATAAGGGTATAAAATAACTGCATATATGCATATTACATAATTATAATATTGCTGCTGTTGAAACAAAACCTTGTATCTCCATTTAGTTTTTTTAATTTTTTGATGCCATTAAATCATGACAGTGGCTTTTTACATTGCATTGATATTTTATACTGAATTAGCACATCTAAATGTTCCAAAACTACTCAGGATAAAATTGTTTTATTTTAACTTTCTCGTCCTGTAAAAATTACCATTTAAGTCATTCTACAATTGCAGTGTCGAACAGGGTATGAATGTTGATGCGTAATTCAAGGATAACCTGTAGTCTGTTATAGTAACACCACTGACAAAAATTTGGGCTTTTCTAAAATATAAGGCACCCTAGTTTCAAAGACATATTGTATGCAGAAAACGACAAATATTGCATTCATATTGTTATTTTGTTTCAATTTTCAAAATCACTTCAATGTTTCATGAGTAAAATCACTGATAATCTTTTTTGTGACATATGAAGCTGTCAGTATTTTAGCCAAATATATCAGAAATATAACAATTTCACTCTGGAGTCTCTCTGGAATCAGTCTTGCTTGCATACAAGAATAATTCAAAAAGACCTTCCTGTTTTTTAATGACACGTTTCTGTAACACCACTGACAAAAAACCCTTGAGATTTATTATGAAATTAAAATAGACACACAAACAAGCATTAAAATTGTTGTTTCACATAAAAATAATACTACTACTATCTATGAAGTCACTGCTGTATTTCATAATATACTGTACTTCATACATGAGTAAAAACACAAAAAAACAAAAATTCAATAAGATGAACTGTCATAATTTCTTTGCTGAACAAAGAACAAAGAATAAACAGGCATCATCTTTTTGAGCTCATTTTAATGGCTTTAATATTGAGGGACACCGCAATAGTAGAATGACTCCTTTCTGAGACACAAGGTTTTTGTTACAACACTGATGTGCAAATATTCAATTACAAAAACACACAGTCTTTATTATTTAACATTATTATTTCCTTTCATGAGATATTCTAGAACTATTATTATTATTATTATTATTATTATTATTGCACAATACACATTAACCAATAAAGGGTCTGGCACATAAACATCCATCATTTTCAACATTATTAATACTTAGTGCTTAGTAATTATGCTATTAATAAGAAACTGCAAAAGTAATGAGAGTAGAACAGGTAATAGGACAAGTAAATTTATCAAACCTTTAATTTTAAATTAGAGAACTTGACTTTGTACTTTGTATTGTTTTATGTATAATTTGGGAATCTGATGTGTTAAATCTGCCATCATTAGCAGTGCTGAACGCTGCTGAATAAGGAAACCTCTGACATGTATCTTTCAGAGCCTCTAGTTTGGGATCAGGCCATTTCTAACACTCTCAGCGAACATTTCACACCGAATACTAAATCAGAAGTTGCGTACCACCACAGACATACTCTCAGGATACTGAATCAAGGTTCTGAACCTCATACAGGAATGTAGCCAGCTTAGAAACAGCCTCTTAAAATCTTCAGCACAAGGATCATCACTTCCGAATAAAGGATAAAGAAATGAATATCCGATTTCAGATGCTAATGTTATGTCATGCTTTGCTGAATCGAGACATGGACATAGCTCGCTGCTCTGTTTACATGCAAATGTGATTTCTCAGTAATTCTTTTGGAGTGCGATTCAAACTGGAACAGGCATTGCAGAGAGCTGATGGAATGCTTTGGTTTTGTAACTCTGATTTTTAGATGGAGAATGATACCTTGTTTTCTGGAGGGAAACCCAGTAAAGCTCAAGCATTTCAGTGGATGGCGCAGACATTTTGGATCAATAGCAAAATTGATCACTTGCTTCCGTGGCTTTTTCTTGACCAGTGATCAATGCACTTACTTCAATATGTAATTTGGACTGGATCCCCAGCTCTTAAAGACACATTTCCAAAATCTATTCAATCCCCTCCTCCTTTTTTGTTTTTTTGCAGACATTGCTTGGCTACATTCCTGTGTTATCCAATGGTGTCTCGGTGGCTGCACCTACCTTTAAAATTAGGTCTGATTCTTGCATCGTAACCAGACACTTTTCCCATGAGTTTGTCCAAGAATTCTGAAGGGGGCATGGGGGAGGCAGCTTTCCTGGCTGCGGCTTGCTGGGACGCTGCCAAGCTGAGAAATAAGACAGAGGGACAGAGAAGAAGACAGGTGCATTATATTATCATTTCACCAGCTGAATAACAATGTGCAGACAGTAAATGCTAAGACTGGCTCACTGGTGTGTTACTTGATCTGTTGCTTTTTAATTGCATTGAAAATCACAAAATTTGGCTTTGTTAAACAGGCTGTTAACTCCATTCCTAAAAATATTGGACACTTTTTCTTTACAGTTAAGCAACAACCGAACACGTTTAACTTGTTCTTTTCAGTTCCGATTTGTACTGCAATCATATACGGCTCCGTTAGAGAAGAAAAATCAATCTGAGCTTTTCACAATGCTGCCTAAACACAGCCTAACAAAGTCTTCTGTGTAGATGTCTACAGGTGAGCTAAAAAAATAGCAATTTAAGAACAAAGTAGCCTAATGTAGTGACCATTCCCTGGTCAAAGCTCATCCTTCTCTATCTACTGGAGTAATGAGTAAAAGTGAATATTGAACCTATGAACATATAGGCCTATTACAGTAATCGGTCATTAGACATCATGGGCACCATTAGTAATACGTGAGTGAGTCTCACTGTGAGCGGCTCTTCCGACTCATTCTAAATGACAGGGCACTAACCAGCCTGGGGATCACTCCAGCCTCCACTCTCACCACTGATACTCTCTTACCCTCTGAGAGGGTTCAAGGAGCAGGACACGCCACTCATTTTCTAAAGTACTATGATTTTCTAAAGACCTATGAAAACATGCAGGGATGAACCCGGCCTCATTTTAAGCATGAAATAGGCTAATAAATAACACAGAGTTCTGTGCAAATGTTTGGGTGCACCTGGTCAATTTGCATGTTTTTGTTGATTTGAAGTGAAAATAAGTTAAAACATCCTCTACACAGAACACATTTCTGCACAATTACTGTTTATTTGCTGCATTTAACATGGGAAAAAAATGAAACATAAAATGTGGCCTCTGTGCACGTTACACATTTTGTATCTTATGTTTTACTTTTTCCCCAATATGTTAAACTCAGAAAATAAACAGAAATTGAACACTAAAATTTTTTAACTAAGTTCCCTATCAGGAATGTTATTTTCACCTCGGAAATCAACTTGACATGTACTTTGACTGGGAGTTTTCTGACATGCAGACGTCTGTAGTATCAGAAAATGCTGTACTATAGACCTTGCTTGTTTTCATATCATTACAGACTATAAGAGGAAGTCTTTATTAAACCTTTAAGCTACAATTTAGCATGACAGTTCCTCACACTGTCCCAAAGTTATGTAACACTACAGTGCAAAAGTTTGGAATGTTTTTAACAATATAAAACTAATTTGTTTTCAGATAAATGTGTATAAATATATATAAACTGGGTGTGCCGGTCTTGTGCAATTTCACAGATTTCAGATCATTAGTAGAAAACTAGGAACCTTTTAAGCAAATGACACGACATTAGATGTGTCCAGAATGATGAACTGTGATGATTCTTGATTGACTGAGAAAGCTGTGCAACATCCAGAATGAAGGTAAATGTTACACACAGAATGCCTCATATTTGAAAAGTGATCAATTCTTGAGGTGGATGACTTGACAAAAAATTACTTGTAAATAGATTATTACAGTGTATAGTTTACAGTATTTAACTTATTTGTAACTTATTAGATTACATATATATATATATATACACACACATATATACATATATTATATAAACAACACATTATTAGGGATGCATCAATATGAGAACTGTGGGTCAACGCCGATATCCTATATTTTTTATGGGCGTATGAGCTGAGGCTTATACATAAACATTTACACACAATGTAGAAATTGGGATAAAATCCACCTGGATTAGCATTACAGAGAAACATTCATTTCTACAGGGTTACACATAGAGGTGGGTGATATGGAAAAAATATTATATCACAATACTTCAAGACAATTTCACAATGCACAATATGCTTCATGATGTGTAGTTTTTCTAGGATTTATTAAGTTGGAACAGACAAAATAGAACCTGTAGTGCCATATATATAAAAAATATTATAGTAATAATAACAATAATAAATCTACAACTACAGTGATTTGTATTCAATGTTTTACACACTGCACTAAATCCATTTAAACAGGCCTAATTACGCTTATTTTATAATAAACCATGTTATTAGTCAGTGTTCTTTAAGTACTGATGATATCCATGATAGGCTCAGAAAAGCATACTGTGACATAGTTTTTCACAATAATAAGTCATATTGCCCACCCTAGTAACAAATGCAGTAAAGTGAATGAAATGCAGATATTTTACATATACAGTAGCCCAGATTCAAACAAACATGCTGCTCTTCCAAAATGCAGTAAAAACAGCATCAAATATTGATGTGAAATATCAGTCAAATCTAAATTTCTGTCAATCCCAGTATATTTCCAATATTATTTGCATCCCTACAAATGATTAATATTGCATATAAGTGATTCCATACTATTCAATGGCAGTGAAGTATCATATTTGATATTGCACTGTAAGTAAAACACTGTTTTTGTAAAGAAAGAAGAGTTTACTTTCTAATTTCTTGGAATCATCCTTACAAATTTCAAAATGCACCCATATGGATGATCTTTTCAACCTTTTTTTTTCTGTATCTCCATGTTGTGCCTTGCTCTTCAGTTCCCTGACTGCTACATGTAAATAATAAGTTCAGTAAAATAGTACAGTGCTTGAACTTATACACAAATTTGCTAGTTACTTTGTCTAAACTTCAAGGAATATCTACAGCTTTTAGTAATAGTGCTACAATATCCATATTTTCAGGTTTGATATGATACCTGAGGTCAAGCTTGGATTTAATTTTCCATTATTTTAGATGTAAAAATTTCTTAATACAATAAGCTACACATTGGTTTGGCTGCAGCAGCTGATTAGCAAATAAACCTCAAATCACAACCCTGAAAATTTACAAATAACTTTAAAAAAGCCCCGTCCATGATAGCAAATGAGAGACTGTCAATGAAACTAAGGAGAAACAAAGGATCATGTTTCAGTTTTTCAATACTGTAATTGTTATTGTTATTACACAAGTGAAAGTATGATTCACTTGTACAAATAAACAAATATATAAATTAAGCAATGAATAAATGCAAAGAGTCGACTGCCAGAATCTTAGTCAAGCAAGAACACTACAACTGATCATCCAGCTAGTCGACTTACAACCTTAGAAAACAGGCAAACGGGAGAATATTCCTTTTTAAATGTACACAAGCTCTTATTCTATAATAAAATCAATAGACAGAGTATAAAGAGAGTCTATGAAGTGTGGCCTTCTGCATCGCTGCTCTCTCTCTTTGTACTGATCCCGTCTCTCACTCTCCTGCACAACTCGTCAGCTGTCTTGTCTAAAGGTCACTACTCCTGTTCATACAGCTGCTGTTCAGTGATGGACTTTCTCCCCAGACAACGGTTTCATGTTCAGCGTCACTACGCACACACACACACACACACACACACACACACACACACATATACGCCTAACATAATGATTTCAATTAATTGGCCCAAAGGACAGTTTTGCTGCCCACAGAATCAATGTCAGACAAAAGGACACCAATGATCATAACACAGTCATAGCGGTATATTGACCGCTCTTACGTCCTTGAGACTGAACCTCGTCAATTTCACTTGCTGCACTGCTCCATTCATCCATTTTTCTGTTTTCTAGTTGTCTTGGTGCGTCATCTGGTTTCCCTTTGATTTCTGTGGAATTTGTGCAGTTCTCAGTTCTCAGTTAACCAGCAGTCAGCCTCATCCTGTTCCGTACATCATTAGCTTACAGCTCATTAACATTTACTGGTGTGGCAAACTGCAAAACCAGCATGTCAGTCAGACTCTTCTCTAGCTTTTAGCCTACATGCAGGGGATATACAGTGGAAATGTAAGATCCAGTGAACTTTTCAAATCCTAAAAACATACAGCTGCACAATGTATCTTTGCTGATCATTATTGCAATATTAGCTTTTGCAATATTGATATATTAGAAGGTTGCAATTTGTTATACAATTATTTATATTTGTTATTTTTAATGTCTGCTGTGAGCATCCCAACCAATCACAGTTCCAGATTTAAGATATTCACTCAATCCAACGTATGTTCATTATTATGGGTCCAAGTAAGCCAAAGTTTAAAGTGGAGTTCCACTGATTTTTCAATGATTTTTGAAAAAATGTTTGATGTGAAATGCTCTGTTGTCAGAAACTTAGAGCCAGAACTGTTCAGAGTGGTGCTGATAGAAACCAGACATCCAAAGAATTTAAAGCTACTTCAGAAAAAGAAATTTGTGATGCCTGAGATTTTGGCCTAAGAAATATTTTTAATCATTCAGCCATTGTGGAGAGGTACATGCAAGATGTAATGAGGCAAAAGAAGTCCCCAAAGAAAACCTGTTTTTTTTTTTTCTTCAGATTTATCACTATTGTACCATTGTCAACATTACATATAAAACTCAGAAGACATGTGTAGGTTCACTTATCATTTCTGATGTAAATAAATTGGTTGCATTTGCATTTTAGACATTGTGACTCCTGGTTCCTATCACCACCACTGTAAAGAAATCTGAGTATCAGTATGTTTTTTTTTGTTGTTTTTTTTTACAATGCACCATTTCACATCAAACTGAATTATATCTCAACCACTGAATTATGCAGAAATGTGGAAAAATCAGTGCAGCTCCCTTTTTATCCATGTCAGACTGGCGCACCATTGCATTTGTACTGCAAGGCACACTGCATGTGCAACATCTAGCAATATAATCACAACACTAGTATTTTGTCCATATCACATGAGTATATCTGTATATCATGCAGTATGTTTCTTATTTTGATCAAATGCGTAACTAAAAATGATGTCTAAGGTAAATTATATAATGATCTTAATGAAAATGTGCTTGTTTAGTAAATAAAGTACTAGTTAACATATTGCCAATGACATAACAAATGTTAATGTATGCAAGTTGTTTTGGACC